GACAAAAACTCAAAGACATTATTTTTCAAGTTATTGTTTTTATTGTTTATCTGTTCCCTGTATTCCTCAAGCAACATTTAACAACTTTCACAATAGTCTTTTGTTGGCTTCTGGGCCCCATACTACCAGATTTAGAAAAATAGGTAATCAAAATTTAAATCAAGACAAAAACCTTGAAGAAAATCCACATGCGATGATATACAATGAGCTGAATCTAGGGTTAACGTTGTTGCAAAACAAATGTGAGCATAAAGTGAAGCTGAAACGGGTGCTGCAGAGTTGAGGCGCTTGGCATCGATACGTCTGTGAGAGTAACAGAGAGAAGGGAAGACAGATTAACAGATACAGGAAAAGACAGAAAAACAAGAGGTGTCGGAGAGAATAGAGAAACGAGGAGAATGAAAACATGCAGCCTGTCCTGTCGGGTCGCCATGGTGAACATCACGACAGCTTGCGAGCTCCTGCTGTAACTCCTTAGAGGAGGAACACGCCTCCTTTCTGACAGCGGATTTAGTTTGCTCCTGCACACTCAGACCCCGCTGATGTCTTATTCTTATGTACGTATGTCACCTCCTGTTTGTATATCGTGTTTACAGGGAGGTAAATCCGATCTGCTGTACTGTGTTTGTGTGTTTTAGCTGCCATCCTGTCTGCAGTGGAAATCCAGGCAGGCAGGCAGGTCAGCATGCAGGCAGATGGCCAAACAAGCAGATAGACAATCGGTGATGGGGGATTGGATTAACATGAGGATCTAATTGCATTTGAGAAACCAGAGAAAGCACATACAGAAAATTAAAAGTGGCATCCAAAGGATGGCTGGGTTACATAACATGGGCACAAACAAGAGGACTTTACAACAATTTTCCATATGAAGGTTATTACAGTGATTAGAGATCATAATGCTAAGGAAATGAATTCTGTATGTATTAAGCCATTTCAGATCTTCACATCCACAAAAAGGGGCGAAATGCTTGAATCCAAACTGAACAGGAGATAAACAAGTTTAATCAGTTCAGAAAATCTTCCCGGGGGCTGAGACTGTTCACCAGGCCAAAATTTATATTAACACCGAGACATTTTTTAAGTATTACCTACTCATTAGATGAACTCCATTACATGTTAGGTACTTAAAGGAATGACAGGAATGCCTCAACTAACAAAGTGACAAGTTTGTTAAAGCTGAAAATGTTAAAAGCAAAGGCTTTAAACCAACATTCAACCTCCTCTCTCTTTTTCTTTTCCTCTTGTTTTTGTGTTGCCGCATATACAGTGGGGAGAACAAGTAATTGTTTCTGGGAGAGAGAAAGGGGGACTCAATCCTCAAAAGCAAAAACCTACACTACCCAGCCTCCCCCACCTCCACCGCTCAGCTCAGGGTGCTCCACTGCAGGAGGTAAAGGGAAACCACAGCATCATTTCCCAGGCTTCACAGAAATGCAGAATCAGCAGCTTTACAGGAGAGGAAACCAAAGCAGGAAATTAACACTCACAATGTTCAACTCCAATCCACACATGGAGCTTGTCATTGCAAAGTATATACAGTGGGGAGAACAAGTATTTGATACACTGCTGATTTTGCAGGTTTTCCTACTTACAAAGCATGTAGAGGTCTGTAATTGTTACCATAGGTACACTTCAATTGTGAGAGACAGAATCTAAAACAAAAATCCAGAAAATCACATTGTATGATTTTAAAATAATTAATTTGCATTTTATTGTGTCTGTCCACACAGAAACAGACTCCAACCTCTTCACAATGGCCAAGACCAGAGAGCTGTGTAAGGACATCAGGGATAAAATTGTAGACCTGCACAAGGCTGGGATGGGCTACAGGACAATAGGCAAGCAGCTTGGTGAGAAGGCAACAACTGTTGGCGCAATTATTAGAAAATGGAAGAAGTTCAAGATGACGGTCAATCTCCCTCAGTCTGAGGGCATCAATGATCATGAGGACGGTGAGGGATCAGCCCAGAACTACACGGCAGGACCTGGTCAACGACCTGAAGAGAGCTGGGACCACAGTCTCGAAGAAAACCATTAGTAACACACTACGCCACCATGGATTAAAATCCTGCAGCGTACGACTGCACCGTATTGAGGGGAGGAAGGATGGGACCATGTATTGCGAGATCTTGGCCAACAACCTCCTCCATCAGTAAGAGCATTGAAGATGGGTCGTGGCTGGGTCTTGCAGCATGACAACGACCCGAAACACACAGCCAGGGAAACTAAGGAGTGGCTCCCTAAGAAGCATCTCAAGTTCCCAATAGAAAATCTTTGGAGGGAGCTGAAAGTCCGTATTGCCCAGCGACAGCCCTGAAACCTGAAGGATCTGGAGAAGGTCTGTATGGAGGAGTGGGCCAAAATCCCTGCTGCAGTGTGTGCAAACCTGGTCAAGAACTACAGGAAATGTATGATCTCTGTAATTGCAAACAAAGGTTTCTGTACCAAATATTAAGTTCTGCGTTTCTGATGTATCAAATACTTATGTCATGCAATAAAATGCAAAAATCATACAATGTGATTTTCTGGATTTTTGTTTTAGATTCTGTCTCTCACAATTGAAGTGTACCTATGGTAACAATTACAGACCTCTACATGCTTTGTAAGTAGGAAAACCTGCAAAATCAGCAGTGTATCAAATACTTGTTCTCCCCACTGTATATACTTTGCAATGACAAGCTCCATGTGTGGATTGGAGTTGAACATTGTGAGTGTTAATTTCCTGCTTTGGTTTCCTCTCCTGTAAAGCTGCTGATTCTGCATTTCTGTGAAGCCTGGGAAATGATGCTGTGGTTTCCCTTTACCTCCTGCAGTGGAGCACCCTGAGCTGAGCGGTGGAGGTGGGGGAGGCTGGGTAGTGTAGGTTTTTGCTTTTGAGGATTGAGTCCCCCTTTCTCTCCCAGAAACACTGGGGTGGAATAATTACATAGTATGTGCAAAATTGAACTCCACTCATTGTGAAAGGATGGAGAGAGAGAGTCAATGATAGAGAGAGAAATGAAGCAAGAAAAAAAGGAAAGATGCCGCCAGTTCCTGTGTGTATCGCTGAGCCTTGCACAGCAGTTATCACATTATTTACAGCCGAGGATTTAATGTACCGTTCAGTAATGAGCAGCAAGCCAATGGCCTGTGATCTGAAGCTCACTCATTCACTTGCTTGGCTGAACTCCAGACGGTTCAAGGCTAAGGAGTCCCCCCCCCCCCAAATGGAAAAAGCCAGATCCCCCAGATATTTTTCCCTTTTGCATTTAAGTGTGATATTACACATGTGCCTCTGTGAGAGAGGGGGGTATATGTGTTTCTGCTTTCTTATATTTTGAGAATCCCCCTTTAATGTCAAACCTAGAGGATCAGTTTAATTGGTCACCTAGCTGAGGCTCCTCTCATGGTTTGACATCCCACAGTGGATCCTTCCTTGTTCAACACGCTACATACTGAATTCTGTATTAAGCGCTAAAGTGTATAATCATGTGCAGCTTCATTTGATTGAAAGATGATTATTTTCATGACATTTCTAGTCTAGGATTCATGAATGTCCTACCTCTTTCATCAGAAAACCCAACCGTCTGCTCGACTGCAAAAGCTAACAGTGACGCTTTGTGGTCATCTACTGAAAATACATCATCTGTAGTTTCTACAGCAGCCCACACTGCACTGCTCTACAGATTTTTCACATCAAAGTGTGTTTCCAGGTGTTGGGGAGTACTACTGCACATGTGGAAAAAACTGTAGAAAGCCTTTAGTGTATCAGAATCAGAAATACTTTATTGATCCCCAAGGGGAAATTCTTCGTTACAAATTGCTGACCTGCATATAAGGAATAGAAATAATAACAGGAAATAGCTAAGTATACAATTAAATGTACACATCTAAAAAGATTAAATATAAATATAAAGCAGTGTGGATATGTACAATATGTTACAGTGTTAATAGAAATGTAATAGTGAATTATAAAGTAATCGTAACAATGAGAACTGGTTGGGTTGACATGGAATGGATAGAAATCTAAAATATAAATATAAACATTGTGGCTATGAACAGCATTTTAGTAGAGTAACACAGGTACTGAAGTAGAAAATATTGCACATTGAGTATTAGAACAGAGAATATTGCACATTAGTATTAAATCAGATAACATTGCATAATATTTCAGGCCAAAATTCTCTGTGTTTGACACTCTGAGGAGTTAAAGAGTTTGATGCCACAGGCAGGAATTACTTCCTGTGGGATGTCACTTGAGTCACTGTCGGTTGGCTCTGAAGACTACAAGTCTGAAAATGAAAATCATCTGGGGGTTTGGAATTAAAACTATAGCCAGCTCCTCATCTCTGCTGCTGTTAGTTTTTTCAAATTTCATTTTGTGGGTTGCGTTTTGGGAAGATAGTGTCCCTCAACAGCAACTTACAAATCAGGCATTCATTAGTCTTGCAGTTAGCCCAGAATGCAGCAGCTCAACTTCTAACAGTGACAAAAAAGCATGAGTACACGACCCCGTTTTAGCCTCGCTCTACTGGCTTCCTGTCCATTTTAGGATAGATTTTAAGATTTTATTGCTTGTGTTTAAGATTTTTAATGGGTTGGCACGTTCTTATTTATCAGAACTTTTACTTGTACACACTCCTGTCAAAGCAATGAGTCATCCAAACAGCCTTTTTTAGAAGCTGCACCAATCTTTGGAGTACTTTATCTGCTGAAATACAAACTGCTCGGACTGCTGACGTTTTCAAGTCCTTGCTAAAGACCCATCTCTATTCATTGGCCTTCAAACAGAGTTGAGTATTGACATTATTGACCTTTTCTATTTTTTTGTTGTGAATAGGAAAAAACTTTGGTCAACTAGGGCTGTTTTTTAAATGTGCTATAGAAATAAACTTGAACTTGAACTAGTCTGAATACTTAAGACTTAATTTTATCACTTCTCCCATGTGAACACACTGGATTTGGGGCGCAGCTTGGGTTTGTATAAAAACAAAAATTGAAAGACAACTGAGACATTCTGTAGTTAATGAATTTATTGACAATAAAAAGGTTTAAAGTCTTCAGTACTGCAGCATCGTCTGAAACAACAGAAAAAAGTAAGAAGAAGGAGACTGTTACATACTGGAGCACTATAAAGTAAATGTTTGATATTACTAAACAATTGCTATTGCACAATGTGATGTGCCAAATGCAGAATCATAGGCACACTTTAAGATAAAATAAGGTCAGGAGTGCAAACACATACCCCAACGACCAGAGGGTTTGACCAGACACCAAAAATAAAGTAAATAGGGGTGATAGAAACGAAATGGAAATGGAAACAAAAACTAAAACCGAACTGGAAAAGAAACAGGAAAGAAATTCTCTGACGGAAACTCACGTCACTGATCCACTTGGTGAAGGAAGAGGTGCGAGTGAACACCGTGGGCTTCATGAGGGTGTTGCATCCTTGAGAGGAGACGAAGCTGGTCACACCCTGCACGTACCACCTCCCATCACCACCCCTGCAGTTCAGAGGGCCTCCTGAGTCCCCCTTTAGAGGCAGACAGAAGACAAGTGAAGGCAACAGAATGATACATGCTGAACATGCAGTTCTTATGTTGTGGTGACCAGATAAGGGGAGCGGTGCATACATGGCAGCCAGATCGGATGTCACCACCAGCGCAGATCATTGTGGGTTTCACAGAGCTCCCCCACCAGCCGCTGCTGCTGCAGACGCTGTGCCCAACCACAGGAAGGAGAGCCTGTTGGAGCTTAGAGGCAATGGGACCACCACCTGCAAGGAGGGCATATAAATTAAAAACCCAGAACAGTGTCAGAAAACACAATCAGAGGGACGGCTGCTTGAAGGTACACTCTCTCTTCAACATCATGTTGGTTTAGAGCCTTTGACCTTTCCATAGATGTGCAGTTAAAGTAACTTTGTACTGCTGAGATGCCAACAAAAACGTCCTCCAGATGTCATCTGTATATAAAAGCCTGGACAATAACATCTGCAGTGACAGCTATGGGCTGGATGTTTTATTTGAAATTTAAGAATATTGTGGGAAATAATATATATAATAAGTTTGTTTTTATATAATTTTATTGATTTTTCTAGTCAATTTTCTAATAACAGTTAGATGTATTGCTGCACTGCTCAGCTGCATTTCCCATCCATGTTTTATTGGATCATTGCAGTCACGTCACAGAATTTAGAATTATGGATTATAGATCATAATCAGTGTGTTGTTAAACAAACTCTTACTGTAGAGTCTTCCCCAGCCCGTGATTTGGCAGGGGTCATTGTGAGGAGCGATCTCTCCACTCTCTGGCACACAGGAGGGCTGCACCTTGTCGTTCACAATGGCAGGTGAGGCCAGTTTAATCATCGCAACGTCATTACTGAATAACAAGAAAATCACAGAAAGAAAGGACAACAACTTTTTGGAATGAGCGTAATAAGTCATACACTTGAAAAATGTTTCTCCAACACATAACTTTGAATTTTGAAAATTTTGTTCTGTTAACTGCTCAAAAACAAAGTTACATGGTGCTTTACATGGCTGAACCAGATTTAAAACATTTCAGGACTGAGGCAAATAAATATAACAAGACAATTTCAATAAAAGAAAAATAAAATCGAGTAAAATACCAAATAATATAAAAGATAAAACAATGACACTAAAACAGATCAAATGTGCTGGAAATAAAACAGTATGCTAGCTTTAATAAAAGCTCAAATATATATGTGTGTCATCTGCATACCAGTGGCCAAAAAACAATGACTGCAGCTTTAAACTTGTTTGTGAAATGTCACTGTCCTTTGTGTAAAACTGTGAAACATGAACATGCTAAAAATCAGCTGTATGGAGGAGTTATATACCCTTACCCACAAGACAGGCAGTTATCATTCCAGCCTGGGTGAACCACGATCTTCTCCACACTTCTGATCTCAAACCTAGAGGATCAGTTTAATTGGTCACCTAGCTGAGGCTCCTCTCATGGTTTGACATCCCACAGTGGATCCTTCCTTGTTCAACACGCTACATACTGAATTCTGTATTAAGCGCTAAAGTGTATAATCATGTGCAGCTTCATTTGATTGAAAGATGATTATTTTCATGACATTTCTAGTCTAGGATTCATGAATGTCCTACCTCTTTCATCAGAAAACCCAACCGTCTGCTCGACTGCAAAAGCTAACAGTGACGCTTTGTGGTCATCTACTGAAAATACATCATCTGTAGTTTCTACAGCAGCCCACACTGCACTGCTCTACAGATTTTTCACATCAAAGTGTGTTTCCAGGTGTTGGGGAGTACTACTGCACATGTGGAAAAAACTGTAGAAAGCATTTAGTGTATCAGAATCAGAAATACTTTATTGATCCCCAAGGGGAAATTCTTCGTTACAAATTGCTGACCTGCATATAAGGAATAGAAATAATAACAGGAAATAGCTAAGTATACAATTAAATGTACACATCTAAAAAGATTAAATATAAATATAAAGCAGTGTGGATATGTACAATATGTTACAGTGTTAATAGAAATGTAATAGTGAATTATAAAGTAATCGTAACAATGAGAACTGGTTGGGTTGACATGGAATGGATAGAAATCTAAAATATAAATATAAACATTGTGGCTATGAACAGCATTTTAGCAGAGTAACACAGGTACTGAAGTTGAAAATATTGCACATTGAGTATTAGAACAGAGAATATTGCACATTAGTATTAAATCAGATAACATTGCATAATATTTCAGGCCAAAATTCTCTGTGTTTGACACTCTGATGAGTTAAAGAGTTTGATGCCACAGGCAGGAATTACTTCCTGTGGGATGTCACTTGAGTCACTGTCGGTTGGCTCTGAAGACTACAAGTCTGAAAATGAAAATCATCTGGGGGTTTGGAATTAAAACTATAGCCAGCTCCTCATCTCTGCTGCTGTTAGTTTTTTCAAATTTCATTTTGTGGGTTGCGTTTTGGGAAGATAGTGTCCCTCAACAGCAACTTACAAATCAGGCATTCATTAGTCTTGCAGTTAGCCCAGAATGCAGCAGCTCAACTTCTAACAGTGACAAAAAAGCATGAGTACACGACCCCGTTTTAGCCTCGCTCTACTGGCTTCCTGTCCATTTTAGGATAGATTTTAAGATTTTATTGCTTGTGTTTAAGATTTTTAATGGGTTGGCACGTTCTTATTTATCAGAACTTTTACTTGTACACACTCCTGTCAAAGCAATGAGTCATCCAAACAGCCTTTTTTAGAAGCTGCACCAATCTTTGGAGTACTTTATCTGCTGAAATACAAACTGCTCGGACTGCTGACGTTTTCAAGTCCTTGCTAAAGACCCATCTCTATTCATTGGCCTTCAAACAGAGTTGAGTATTGACATTATTGACCTTTTCTATTTTTTTGTTGTGAATAGGAAAAAACTTTGGTCAACTAGGGCTGTTTTTTAAATGTGCTATAGAAATAAACTTGAACTTGAACTAGTCTGAATACTTAAGACTTAATTTTATCACTTCTCCCATGTGAACACACTGGATTTGGGGCGCAGCTTGGGTTTGTATAAAAACAAAAATTGAAAGACAACTGAGACATTCTGTAGTTAATGAATTTATTGACAATAAAAAGGTTTAAAGTCTTCAGTACTGCAGCATCGTCTGAAACAACAGAAAAAAGTAAGAAGAAGGAGACTGTTACATACTGGAGCACTATAAAGTAAATGTTTGATATTACTAAACAATTGCTATTGCACAATGTGATGAGGCAAATGCAGAATCATAGGCACACTTTAAGATAAAATAAGGTCAGGAGTGCAAACACATACCCCAACCCTCAGAGGGTTTGACCAGACACCAAAAATAAAGTAAATAGGGGTGATAGAAACGAAATGGAAATGGAAACAAAAACTAAAACCGAACTGGAAAAGAAACAGGAAAGAAATTCTCTGACGGAAACTCACGTCACTGATCCACTTGGTGAAGGAAGAGGTGCGAGTGAACACCGTGGGCTTCATGAGGGTGTTGCATCCTTGAGAGGAGACGAAGCTGGTCACACCCTGCACGTACCACCTCCCATCACCACCCCTGCAGTTCAGAGGGCCTCCTGAGTCCCCCTTTAGAGGCAGACAGAAGACAAGTGAAGGCAACAGAATGATACATGCTGAACATGCAGTTCTTATGTTGTGGTGACCAGATAAGGGGAGCGGTGCATACATGGCAGCCAGATCGGATGTCACCACCAGCGCAGATCATTGTGGGTTTCACGTAGCTCCCCCACCAGCCGCTGCTGCTGCAGACGCTGTGCCCAACCACAGGAAGGAGAGCCTGTTGGAGCTTAGAGGCAATGGGACCACCACCTGCAAGGAGGGCATATAAATTAAAAACCCAGAACAGTGTCAGAAAACACAATCAGGGGGACGGCTGCTTGAAGGTACACTCTCTCTTCAACATCATGTTGGTTTAGAGCCTTTGACCTTTCCATAGATGTGCAGTTAAAGTAACTTTGTACTGCTGAGATGCCAACTAAAACCGTCCTCCAGATGTCATCTGTATATAAAAGCCTAGACAATAACATTTGCAGTGACAGCTATGGGCTGTATGTTTTATTTGAAATTTAAGAATATTGTGGGAAATAATATATATATAAGTTTGTTTTTATATAATTTTATTGATTTTTCTAGTCAATTTTCTAATAACAGTTAGATGTATTGCTGCACTGCTCAGCTGCATTTCCCATCCATGTTTTATTGGATCATTGCAGTCACGTCACAGAATTTAGAATTATGGATTATAGATCATAATCAGTGTGTTGTTAAACAAACTCTTACTGTAGAGTCTTCCCCAGCCCGTGATTTGGCAGGGGTCATTGTGAGGAGCGATCTCTCCACTCTCTGGCACACAGGAGGGCTGCACCTTGTCGTTCACAATGGCAGGTGAGGCCAGTTTAATCATCGCAACGTCATTACTGAATAACAAGAAAATCACAGAAAGAAAGGACAACAACTTTTTGGAATGAGCGTAATAAGTCATACACTTGAAAAATGTTTCTCCAACACATAACTTTGAATTTTGAAAATTTTGTTCTGTTAACTGCTCAAAAACAAAGTTACATGGTGCTTTACATGGCTGAACCAGATTTAAAACATTTCAGGACTGAGGCAAATAAAATATAACAAGACAATTTCAATAAAAGAAAAATAAAATCGAGTAAAATACCAAATAATATAAAAGATAAAAACAATGACACTAAAACAGATCAAATGTGCTGGAAATAAAACAGTATGCTAGCTTTAATAAAAGCTCAAATATATATGTGTGTCATCTGCATACCAGTGGCCAAAAAAACAATGACTGCAGCTTTAAACTTGTTTGTGAAATGTCACTGTCCTTTGTGTAAAACTGTGAAACATGAACATGCTAAAAATCAGCTGTATGGAGGAGTTATATACCCTTACCCACAAGACAGGCAGTTATCATTCCAGCCTGGGTGAACCACGATCTTCTCCACACTTCTGATCTGCTCATAGCCCTCCTCTTTGGTGAGGTCGTACTCGCCCAGCACCACACGGTAGGTACGAGCTCTGACACATATATATACACAGAAACACACACTTTAGCTAAGTCCTTCACCTCACATCATGACCTAAGAAAAGCTGTGAATGAGAAAACTGTGGCCCACCCGATGCAGTGGCCCGCAGTCATGACCCAGTTGGGAGCGAGCAGAGTGCCTCCACAGGTGTGACGGTAGGTGGAGCCGCTGAGATATTGCAGAGAGATCTGTGAAACATGGAGTGAGAGGGCTTTAGAGCCAGCACACCATGATAATACAAGTACATCTTATTTAATTAATAAGGTCGTTACTGTTCTTAAAAGCTTGTGATTACAGTCATGATCCTGGTTCTTTCAAGTTTGCATCAAAAAGTCCACATTAGTCTAAGTGGAACTTCAGGCAAAAAAACAAACAAAACAATTTTTACTCTACTATGTTGTTTTGTAAGAAGTTTTGATATCTTGGGTGAGAAATATCGATACATGGATTTAATGTGTTCTATAACTGTGTATATGCAGTTTTATATATACATCTGTATACTATGATACAGAAGATTTTCTGGAGGTTTAATAGGGAAACTGTTTATAGTCATTCTCTTTTAGCAATTACTCCACAGATTCCTTTTATTTTATCTGTCATTTCATTGTAACTGTTAACAAGGTGTTCCTGAAAGATAATTTACCATATACGTAGCTGACCAGCTCATTTATCTGCAGTATTAACAATTTGACATAGTCACATGTGTAGCAGTTCTTTGTCACATCATATACAGTTATTTGTCTTAAACCCCGATTATAATCTACTCACCTGCCAGGGCCAGCTGTAGGGTCGAGCATCTTCCCCATTAACAACACGGCTCACAGAGGGCGTATAGGTGGGTGTGCCACACCCATAAGCTGGGCCACAGAAAGAACTGGAAATTACAAAGGCTGATACTGAAAGCTGTAACACTTCCTGTAACCTAGTTTTTTCCCCTCAGCTCTCCACATGTCTCTCCACATGTGATTCAGCCACTTTTCCTTTACAAACTTTAGGTGAACAAAACTAATTGTCACATGGGTTGCATATTCAAAAGTATTGCAGTACATTTAGATTTTGCCCTGCTGCCTAGTTCTCACTTATTTTCTTCAACTAAAACACATGCTTTCAAAAACAAATGCACACAAGGGATATATCTGTGCCATAGCTAGTACCCCTGTTGATTGAGGACATATCTGAAGGTATTCTTTAGTTTGTTATTGTCAACAAATCCCATAAATGACCCAAACCAACAGTGAATATATCTACTAACAGGTATTGTGTGTGTAGCCAAAGCCTGATATCTTTTTTCCTCTGTGCCCTTGAGCTCTGTTGTTGTCTATAAACTTAAAACACATCAGTGAGCCACGC